CTTCCATTTAAAAGGTGCCAATGTATTTAGGACTGAATCGTTGTATTTCTTGTGATGTATGACAACAGCATCAGATCATATAAAATTTTCTTCTTTTAATGAAGAAAAAAAGGAAGGTATCAGTTAATTTTTGTTTGGGGAAAATTTTTCTCTATTGATTTTTGGAAAAGTTTCCTGCTGACATTTCTAGAGTTAACTGAACATTCAGTAATTTGCAACTAGTACTGACTATACTTGCTGCAGCTGCTAATGAATATTTTATAAAGCAAGAGGAAGATATTAGGTCTCGATTTGGATGTCCGCCAAGTCTAAATTTCTCACCTTGTTGTAGCTCAGGTTCAGCCCCACTTTTTCAGCTGCCCTAGGCAAGCTACAACTGAATGTTACGTTATTAACTTAAATTCAACAAGTGCAAAATCAGATTTAGTATTTTAGTCTTAATTCTTCCTGCTGCATTTATTTTTGCTATAAGGACCATTGATTGAGTTGAGTTGAGTTAGTTGAGTTCAGTTCAGTCACTCAGTCATGTCCGACACTTTGCGACCCCATGGACTGCAGTATGCCAGGCTTCCCTGTCCATCACCAACTCTTGGAGCTTGCTCAAACTCATGTCCATCAAGTTGGCAATACCATTCAACATTCTCATACTCTGTCTCCCCTTCTTCTCCTGCATTCAAGAGTCTCCTCCAACACCAATATTCAAAAGAATCAAGTTCAACTTTCTTTATAGTCCAACTTTCAAATCCATACATGACTACTGGAAAAACCATAGCTTTGACTAAACGGACCTTTGTGAACAAAGTAATATCTCTGTTTTTTAATATATTGTCTAGGTTGGTCATGGCTTTTCCTCCAAGAAGCAAGTGGCTTTTAATTTCATGGCTGCAGTCACATCTGCAGTCATTTTGGAGCCCCCAAAATAAAGTGTGTCTCAGCATTGCATTTCTTTGGAACTGGAAAGAAAACAGACCTTTCCCAGTCCTGTGGCCACTGCTGAGTTTTCCAAATTTGCTGACATACCGAGTGCAGCACTTTCACAGCATCGTCTTTTAGAATTTGAAATAGCTCAACTGGAATTCCATCACCTCCACTAGCTTTATTCATAGTGATGCTTCCTAAGACCCATTTGACTTCTCACTTCAGGATGCCTGGCTCTAGGTGAGTGATCAAACCATCGTGGTTATCTGGGTCATTATGATCTTTTTTATATAGTTCTGTGTATTCTTGCCACCTCTTCTTAATAACTTCAGCTTGTTAGATCCATACCATTTCTGTCCTTTATTGTGCCCATCTTTGCATGAAATATTCCTTTGGTATCTCTAATTTTCTTGAAGAGATCTCTAGTCTTTCTCATTCTATAGTTTTCCTCTATTTCTTTGCACTGATCACTGAGGAAAGCTTTCTTATCTCTCCTTGCTATTCTTTGGAATGCTGCATTCAAATGGGAATATCTTTCCTTTTCTCCTTTGCCCTTAGCTTCTCTTCTTTTCTCAGGTATTTGTAAGGCCTCCTGAGACAACCATTTTGCCTTTTTGCATTTCTTTTTCTCGGGGATGGTTATGATTACCACCTCCTGTACAATGTCACAAACTTCCATCCATAGTTCCTTAAACACTTTGTCTATCAGATCTACTCCCTTGAAACTATTTTTCATCTATTTCTTCACATTGATCACTGAGTTACTCAGACTCGAACTTTCAATTGCAATCACAGGAGCTACAATCATAGGGCTTCCTTTCAGGTTTGGGGCTGTGAAGAGCTTCATAAATGTATGGATTTAATTCTCACCAGGACCCTGTGAGGTAGGTACCAGCACTATCATTTCACTAAGATGGGGAAGCTGCAGCTTAGTGTGGTTGGTAATTTACTCAAGATCACTTAACTATTGGCTGGAATGGTAGGATTCAGACTTGACTATGTAAACATCAGAGCTTGAAACTTTTAATCGCCTTGTCACTTTGTCTTAGCTCTGACTCTTTTCTCTTTTCCTGATCATGTAGACTTAGTCCCTAAAATGTTCATACAACTGTACTCTCCTTTAAATTTCAATGCCACTGCAGAGCTCAGCCCCTCATTACCTCTTACCTCTCCTAAGTGGTCTTCCTGCTCTTTACTGATGGATTCATCTTCTTAAAGAGTCAGTCGTTAGCCTAACAAAAAGCCTTTGATAGCTACCCATGGTCTGCCATTTTCTTACTCAGGCTTTCAGGATATCAGTCTTAGTTTTGACCACTTATCTTCATGAACACTGTGTTTTATCCAGTCTAGACTTCTTTCTGTATTCTGAACTTCTGTGTCTGTTGAAATTCTACTTGTCACCTTCACAGTCTAGATAAGTGCTTCTTCCTCCATGAAGCCTTCCTTGATTCCTTTAATCATATAAAGATATTTTGGACTTTCCTTATGAAAACATATTCTAGACTTGACTATGGTCAGTTGTATAGTTATCACCCCTAGAGTATCCTAGTTCTTCTAGGGTTGAACTCTGTGTTACTATCACCTTTTTGATTGGTAATTATGTAGTACAGTAGTATCAATGTACATTATTCTTGCTTGAAAAGTTCAGGTGTATTATATTTTATTGTTAGATGGTGTCAGGATATGTGGTCCACTTACTCAAGATGTTTTCAATACAGTAAGTGAAAAAAACTCATTCAAAAATCAGTTAGAGGAGAATCAGGGTCTCAGCTATGATGGCGGTGAAAGAAGAGAGAGAATGTGAGGGAAAAATAAATGGAGAAGGATTTAGAGAAAAGGTGAGACCCGAGTTTAATGCCGAAAAGTACAGGAAGCTTCTGTAGTCTAGGGAGGGTGTTCTAAGGTGGGGATGAGCATAACTGAAGGCTGTGAGGTAGGGATGGCACTTTAGGAATGTCTATTGAGAAGAAAAACACCCAGAAAGTTCAGTGGGCTTCAAAGTAAAACAATTCAGTCAAATTTAGTGTCATTTCTTTATTTTTTAAATGTTCATTTTAAAATTGAGATACAATTGACACAACATTGTATAAATTTAAGGTGAACAACATGTTAACTTGATACATTTATAGATTGGAAGAGGTGTTAGCTGACACATCTATCAAAAGTTCCCATCACAAAACTGTTTTTTACTAACCAGCATTCCTCCAAGATAGTCACAATTAGTGAACTTTTATTATATGTTCTTATGTTGTTATATAATTGCTAAAATTCATCAAGGACTATCTGAATTACAGTATATGGCAATATGCTGGCAAACTCCTTCCTTTTTTGCTTTTTAACTGCCATCATGTTGTAAGGTTTTGAATCCTAACACAGCCTAGGACAGGTGGTAAGAAATTACCTCATGGTTGAGATTTTATAACTAAAAAATAAGGCAATTTTTATAGTGGACTTCCTACATACTAAACAAAATTTTCTTCATATGATTTATTTATGCAAAATTGCTGTATGATTTCCCCTGCTATTGTTCTAAGAGGGGAGATATTCATAAATGGGCAAAGAAAATAGAAAATTCATTTACGTACTGTACTTAATGATCTAATGCAGATTCCAAACTGGCTATGGAGATTGACAAATCTTGGTTGTGATAAATTATTATACAGAAGTATTCCCACTAAGGCACTAACAGAAAAAAACAATGAAAACTGACGAATTCATTTTGAAATGCTACCTTAAACGCCAGAACAAAGAGAAGAAAAGGGATTTTAAAAGTACACTTAAAACATATGCATTGTCTTGAGGGAAAAATAAGACATCAGTACATAACTATAAAGCATTGACTGCTTGCCCATTTGTTAAATTCGTTTTGATATGAATTACACATCATTTTTTCCTTAGGAGTATAGAGTTGCTAATTTTCTCCATATGTGTACAATTCCTCTTTAACCTTTAACAAATGTCCTCTAGGCGGTCCACTTACCATCCAAGAACAATGCCACTCACAATTTTACATGCATACAAAGGGCTGGAAGCCCCATAAAAATAAATGATCCATGGTACAAGCTACATTAACCCACAGAATAATAAGCTAGTGCAGCCCTATAAATTTTAGTGCCATCCATTCAAAACCACACTGGGTCACTTTAGTATTAAATTCATAGGAACAAAACAGTAAATACACGTTTTATTTGTTAAGCTGCCAGCTATATATTTTGTGTAAAAGTTTGTTAGCCCAGGAAAAGCTATTGAAAGGTATATCAGGCAGTGTATATTTAAAAGCAGTGTCTCTTTCCAATACATGAATTTATGTGTTACAGACACACTTACCATTAAGCATCATGTATATTTAATATCACAACCTCTACCTCAGTGTGCTAAAAAGCCTTTGTTCATTTGTTGTTTCCATTATTGAAGAGCTAATATTCAGTTCTCCCACAATTTTGTAAAGTGCAGGCAGCCCACAAGAGCTTCTAGTTTTAGCTTGCAGTCCCGTGGGACTACCATAATTGTTATGAAATCATTAATTCTACCTCAGCAGTTTCAACTGTCAGGTACGTATAACAAAAATTGCAGTTAATGAATGCCGCTCAATTTATTAAGTGCAAGATGAAAACCAGTATTCTTTTATATGCAGCACTGAGAATAGTAACATTGATCATTTGTGTATACCATATTGGATAGTCTACCATCATTTATTGGTCAGGGTATATAACCATATTTTTTTTTAAAAGCTCTTCATTAAAAAACAATGGAGGGAATTCTAATTCCTAATGAAATTCCTAACTCTCTAATGAAAGCATAATTAAAATAATTAGTACCCAAAGTAATATGTAATAAGAATCTATGTCTATGAAAAAACAATCCAGGAGAACCAAGACTTCATTTCTCCTTTGGATAAACAAGATTCTTTCTAGTGCCATATTCTCTCCCCTAATTCTTACAAGAGTATGAAAAAGTCTGCAAACTTCCAGTTGTTTGAAATAGTAGTGTTGTGTCTTTCTCTAATGTTTGGGCAGTGAAACTTGTGTACATAGATACCTTATATCTTGATTTAAAGAGTATGAACTAGAATTTGTTTTCAATCATTCAAAGTAAACTGTGTAGACATTTGCAAGAGCAAAGAGAGAAGAATTTCTGAAAATGAAAGATGCAAAGGCATCATTTTTAGGATCCCAAAGGCATCTGCTTCCAATCAGTATGCTCTGGCCTGTCAGTTGTCCAATGTAGACGATCACAATTAGCTTATATCGTGGGATCATCAAGTCCTTTACCTGGGCTTTAATAACCTAGAAATTAAAAGGAAAAACAAAAGGTCCTCACTTAGTCACATTGAAGTTTAAAAGTCTTAATTTTTCTCATAAATATAGTGGATTTAATTGAAGAAAATGGCACGATACCTTGTGGATCCTTTCAGTAATTGCTATAGAAAGGTAGCTATAATTTCCTTCAAGCACAAGACAGGACATAAAGGGACAAAATGATAGTCCCAGTGAGAAATCTACCTTTTCTAAGGCAGACGGCAAAATAATAATCCAGAGAACAGAGCTTTCAATGCATTTATTGTGTTCTTGGAAAATCTATGTTGAAATGGCTTCCCTTCAAAGAATGTTGGCATTACAATTATACCATCTTATTCATGTCTAATTAAGGGACTATACATCTGAAGTCTCCTGTAATATGACTAATTGTGAATGCTTATTAGATACATTATAATGAAAAAGAAAGAGAAAATTTTATGGAGTGCCAGCACTTTAGTTGATAAAAATAGAAATGTTTTTAAAGGCCCCAATGTTTTTATTTGATGGCATTGCAAAGCAGGTGCTTTGAAGAAGGAACAGGCTACCCACTCCAGTGTTCCTGGGCTTCCCTTGTGGCTCAGCTGGTAAAGAATCCACCTGCAATGTGGGAGACCTGGGTTCGATCCCTGGATTGGGAAAATCCCCTGGAGAAGGGAAAGGCTACCACTCCAGTATTCTGGCCTGGAGAATTCCATGGACGAGTCCATGGAGACGCAGAGTCAGACATGACTGAGTGACTTTCACTTCACTTCAAAGAAGGTGCTTTGGGAAAGAGAAAGTGATCATTAAAATATTGTATCTTTTATAATAACATTTTTTAAATAAATGGGGCCGTTTTATACATTTCTAAAACAGAATACATGCAAGTGATGCACATAATAATTGTTTTATACAAAGGCTTTTTACACACACAGACACACATGGACTATGACCTAATAAATATTTTCATAAGATAAAAATAAACAGTTTTACTGCTACTGCAAATTAATTGCTTTCATTAAAATAGGCGGGTTGTGCTTTCAGCAAATATTCTAGTCATAGTTAGCACTTTAGGAAATCACACATATACCTCAGAAATTGTTTTAGTCATCTGTCTACAGAGTTCCGGTTCATACTGTTCTTCTTGTAGGTAGGTAGTTAACACATCTTTCAGAATATGATTGACAATGACCACAGGAAAATATTTGGTAGGACCTGAAAATAGACAAAATTTCTTTCAAAGAAGTAATTTCAAATCATATCTGCCCATGCCATAGCTTAATTAAAAGAGTATCAAAACATGGAGACATTTAATCTTCTGGGTTGCCTCTACTGAAACAAAGAAAGTGGTCCCAATAAGATTTCCAGTCAAATTCTCTGGTAGAGGACAAGAAGATGGGATTCATCTGTTTACCAGATATCTCAAGAGTGTGTTCAGTACCATGGAGTCTGACATTGAATGTATCCTCCTTCCCAGTTCCCACTGTCTGCATGCTCAATTGCTCAGTTGTGTCTGACTCTTTGGGAGTCTATGGACTGTAGCCCTTCATTAAAGGGCTCCTCTGTCCAAGGGATTTCCCAGGCAAGAATACTGGAGTGGGTTTCCATTTCCTACTCCAGGGGATCTTCCTGATCCAGGGATCTAACCCCTATCTCTTGTGTCTCCTGCATTGGCAAGCAGATTCTTTACCACTGTGCCACCTGGGAAGCCTCCACCAGTTCCCAAGGCTAATAACTCATTTCAGTGTCTTAACATCTTTCTAACTGACCCCCAGCTCTTAAGTTCCCTACCTCCAATCTCTCTGTAACACTACATCTGGAGTTGTAACACTCAGATGTTACCACTGTGTTTTCCTTGGCAAAGTCTAGAGTTCAGCTCCTATCCAACCTACAGCTTCTTCTTCAACCACCACAGGCCTTCACATGACTGCTGCTCCAGCTTCATGGAGTTTATCTGTTCTTTCAAGAGTGCTCGTGTCCATTTGCTCCTCTTTCAAAATGCAACAATCTTCCCCATCCTGTTCATTCGAGAAAAACCCACTCATGTTCAAGGCCAGCTCAAACATCTTCTCCAGTTAGCCTTCCTCCTCTCCTCAGGTAAAAATTACCTCTCTCTTCTCTATATTCCCAATGCTCTGGGTCTCCAATGCTATTGTGGCTCCTAATTCAGCTGATAATTGCCAAGGCTTACCTTACCTTTCTCCTCTGAACTGGTAAACAAGATTATGTTTTGTCTTCCTCAAGGTCTAACACAATGCTAAAGTCAGAAAAAAATGTTCAAGGTCTGATTTCTGGGTTTAAATAGAATTAAACATTTTCTAGATAATAGCCATAGTACAAATAATAGCTACTCTTATTGAGCATTTTCTACATGCCAGCCACAGTGATAGTGTGTGTTAGTTGCACAGTCATGTGTGACTCTTTGTGACCCCATGAAGCCCTCTTTCCATGGGATTTCCCAGGCAAGAATACTGGAGTAGGTTGCCATTTCCTTCTCCAGAGGATCTTCCCAACCCCAGGGGTTGAACCCAGGTCTCCTGCACTGGAGATTCTTTACTTGTATGAGCTACCAGGGAAGCCCCTCTGTGACAAGTACTTTATTACCTTATATGTATAATTTTCCAATAAATCTCTGGGGGTAAATCTTATTGTCACCTCCATTTCACAGAGGGGAGAACAGATGTTTAAAGATATCGACTAACTTACCTAGAATCACACAGTGTCAGGGTTGGGATGTACCTTCCTGGTTTATCTGACTTGAGAGCTTAAATTCTTAACTACATTTAGTCCACTTTCAGAGCAACAGCTTTAGCTGCATCTTATTCTGCACCCCAGGAATCTTACTTGCACCTCCCCCGCCCCAGGAATATTAACCTTATCACTAACGTCTGTCATTGAATAACATGTTCATGTGCCCAGGGCCCGGTATACAGAGGCTTGATCATTATTTGCTGAGTTGATATGGATGAAGAATTCTACCCAATTCTATTTTCAATAGTCATTAGTATCTTTTAAGTGTTTATTTTCAATGACTGTATCAGTCAGGGTCTAAGGAAATATATCACACATTAAAGTTAGGACAATTCCTAGAGGATTTAATAAACAGACTCCTTAGGGAGGTCTGACCAGGATGCAGGGAATCTTGAAGGAATGTGCCAGCCCCCTCAGCTGGTGAAAAAGAAGGTGTTACTTTCATCCCAACCTGAGGAGGGATCCCAGAAGAGCCGTGTGGAAAGGGCTCCCTCCACAGCAGCCTCCGTCCTTCTGCTGATGGATGCAAAGAGCACAAGGTGAGACCTTAGGCGGGGTTCACACTCCTCTCTTCTGACTTCCCACCGATGTTTCCCAGTGGCTAAACTTAACCAGAAGGTGACACCCCGCACCTAGAATTCAGTTAGGTCAACCTCCTGGGGCTCAATTTATAGTATTTTTATTGTGATGCTTATATAGGAATGGTTCAATTAAATTTAAATCAGCCTGGGAAATGAATCCATGAATCCAGACAAGTAAAATAAAGATATTGGAGACAATGAGTATGATAATTAAACCAAATATTTAGTCAGCAGGAATCTCTCCCCTCTACAGGAGACAGACAAGCAGTTATAAACCCGCAAAGGGTTGGTCCTGAATGCTCTTGCTTTGTGGAATCAGAGATGGAGCACCAGCCCCCCTAGGCCAAACACCTACTGTGTCATTGTCCTGTGGATCTTTTAGAAGGTTTCCATTTGCTTATGATAGTGAGATGAGGCTAAATGTGAGGGTGGTTTCTCTGTTTCTGTTTGAAAAATTTAAAAAATGTTCCTACCAGGTTGGACTAAATTAAACAGATTATATCTTTTAGATTGGCACCTCTCCTTTTCATTCCCTCCTGCCAAGCACTCATATCACATTTACCGAAGCTTGACCTGTATCACCCATGGGGAGCACTGGTCCTTTAAGAAAATACTAAATTCCTTCAGTGCATGTACTTGTCCAGCTGGTACACCTCCCTGTCCTTTGGGAACAGCGTCTCCCAAATGGAAAGGACTGGTCCTCTTCCCACTCTAACCATGTGGTTCTTTAGGATCATCATCTCTTTTGAGTCCAAGTCCAGGTCATGGTTGATCGGCGCTGGGTGGACTTGCCCCAAGCTAGGCCAATTAGAATCCTTTCTTGGAACTTTTGTATTAAACTAGAACTAGGTAACAAAAAGTTTTCAGTCTCTTTTTGGAGTCAAAAGTTAAGACACGTGACTCTCAGGAACTCTTTCTCACAGTGAGAAGGAAGCCAAGCCACAGTGAGAGAGGGAGCCACACACAGTTCAGGGCTAGAAAAGTGGAGTCCTGGCTGCTCCCGTTCCCAGTTTCCAATAGCGCCTGCTGTCCGGCTGCACCAATGCCCTTTCTGCACTTACCTTAGATTTTTAAAAAAATCTCATTAACCAGATTCAATTCCGAAAAAAGTTTAAATAGTAAACTTTTCTTCTCTCACTTCTTTGTGACCGTGGCCCTATACAGCAGAATCATCCATTGTCTTACTTAGGCTTGGATGCTGAGACGCAAAGAGAGTCAATAATCAGCATTTGACTTCCAAAATGGGCTTCCCTGGTGGCTCAGAAGGTAAAGAATCTGCCTGCAATGTGGAAGACCTGGGTTCGATCCCTGGGTTGGGAAGCTCCCCTGGAGAGGGGCATGGCAACCCACTCCAGTGTTCTTGCCTGGAGAATTCCACGGACAGAGGAGCCTGGCGGGCTACAGTCCATGGGGTCCCAAAGAGTTGGACATGACTGAGTGACTTTCACTCACTCACTGACTTCCAAAACAAGCTCCCAAAACTTTCAGAGTCAACTAATGCAAAGGCCTAAACCTTTTCTCTTTTCTAGAGCAATTTTTTTTCTAATTTAGGAGGAAAAAATGCTTTTAGAAATCAAATTGCAAAGATCTGAAGAAGGATCAGGATGGAGAAAAGAGAGGAAAACTTATCTGTAAAAACAGATTTAAGAGAGAATAGATAGAAATTTGATTAGTTAACGTATCTGTGTCTTAGCTTCCCAAACTGGGATAGTGATGAGAATCACCACCTACTCAGAACAGTGAGTCTGCCACACAAAAAACTACTCATTGGATCTTTTTTATAGTGTTGCTGCTGTTATTGTTGCTTCTTCATTGCAAGCAGACAGAAGGCAGCAGGATGGACGATGGTGTAAGGCGGGAGATGGTTTAGGTCTCCACAGGTGGGAAGGACCCTATATGGTGGAGCAAAGTCAGCACTGAAATACTGGCAGGCTCTCTGTCCAACAGCTCATCTGGCGACAGGGCCTGATCATCTCATGGGAGTTGAGCTCAAACGTCTTTCTCGCGCCATCTCTCGGCTCTATTTTTCACTACGTTGGCTGCATTCTCAGGCGCCCTGTCTCGATGTGTCAGCAAGGATGGCCATCCACAGCCCTGTGTGATGTGGGGATTACAGTCAGTGAATCGGGTACCTCTGTAAGTCACTGCTCCAGAAAAAGTCCTGGGAGGCACTCATTCCATACTCAGGAGGAAGTTACATTGGATGCCATGCAAGGCTTTTCTTCTTAGTGATCAAAGGCGATGTTCTTTAGTCAGAGGCAATAACATACTGAATGGGAAGCAGTTTAAATACAATACTTTATTTAATTCTCATAGTATCCCTAACCAAGTGTGACCTATGATCCCTACTTGCGGAGGAAGAAACTGAGGTTCAAGGATGCTGAATACCTTGCTCAAACATTATTTATTTAGGAATGGGCAAAACAAGTATTTAGACTCATGTACATCGGCCCCTGTAGTCAGTGTTTTCTGCTGTACTCATGTTTAAGTAATCAATTAATGGGAAGAGATAAGGGACTTTTAATTGTAAGAAATATATTCTCATTCTTCCCTTTCCTTTTTTCTTTAATTATACTCATGTTTAATCTCATTTTTGGTGGCTATAGTTACTCAGATAAAGGGAGGACAACCATTCTAAACATCTAAGATATGTTTAAGTGATGCACATATTATTGGGTAGAATGTGAAAACTTAAACACAGTAATACTGGTGACTGAAATTTCTCTTACTCTTCTAGTCGGTATTGACTGTCTTGCCAAAGGCCCACAGAGTACCTTTCAGATGCAAAAATAAACCCAGAAACAAGTAGAAGTGGAAATACATATTTGATCATTAACAAAATAGCTACCTGGAACCTTATAAAATGGATTGTCAAGTACAAAAGACTAATCATAGAAGAATAATTTGCACAACTTTTTGAAAGGAAATATGGGAACTATTTTTTTCTATACTAAGACATTTTAAAAATTATTTTTCTAACTTGGTTCAGCACTCAGAACTGATGAGACAATTTAGCTTATTTGAGGAAATAAGTTATGAAAGCACATATTTTTGAATAAATGCGGGGCTTCGTATTTCAAATGCTGTATCTTGTTGAAATCAGATTCAAATCCTTCTAGCATGCAGAGCTAGAAGGCACTGAATGGTGAAGATCTTTTAGTTACAAGAAAACTTGACCCATACTGACATCCAATATAACTTGCCTAAATAAAAAGTCTAAGAGTACAAAGGGTATTAAGGACTTGGTCTCAGGCTTTGTGTGGGGGCAAGATGGCAAAAGCTGCCATAGAGCTTACAACCTTTCAGGTTTCAGAGGCTGATCCACTTCTTCAATAGTCCAAACAATATTCTCTGAATTGACTCTCAAAGGCTTTTGCCGGGAGCCAACACACGAGATCCCACCGATGACAAGGTCATGAGGAGAAAACCTGACAGGCAAGGCGGATCAGGTTTTCAGGGATTCCGAAAAGCTGCCCCCCGGCGCTCACCTTAAAGATGATATCTGTCTTTCTGATGCTTGCTTCAATAGACTACTCCCTAATTTCTGTGACACAGGCAGAAGGCCTTCCCTGATCTCTTTCCAAATAAGAATCAATTTAGAACTTTAATCAATAAGTTTCCTGGGTGGTGGTATTTTATGAGATCATCCAGGGTGAAAGGAGTGTTTCAATTTAAACTCCTTTGCTGGCATTCTAGTTTGTTTAGCAAATGCGTCTATGCCCTTAGTACTAATATGCATGACTGCTTATAATACCCTAATCATAAAACAGCATAAAGAACCTGATCATATAAAGGCCCTAATAGACATAGAGCCCTTCGGGGAGTGAGGAAGCCCTATTAGAAAACACACAAAAAATTATTCTGAAAGTGGTTATTGGGTTAACATTTGCTTGCTGTGTTTTTGTTCTTAATGTGCTAAGGTTGTGCAGTGGAAACCATTGTTAATATAGTTAAAGATCTAGAAAAATAAGAGCTCAGCCCTAGTGTGGTAACAATGAGATGGTTGTTAATTGTCAGCCAGGAGTGCTAGGCAGAGACTGCCTCACTGAAGCCGCAGTCTGTGTGGGGTAAACCTCTTAGATAAATTCAACTGACAACTTCTGCAGAAGAACTGACTTCTGTGTTAACAAGGTTATACTTCTACTATGCTGTGACATGCTGTACTGTTGCCCTATGAGACTGTAACTTTTCTGTTAAGATCACCACAGAAACAAAAAATAGGTTTACATTCACCTGACTTGCATAAAATGTTAATAGGCCCCAAGGCCAGAAGATAATGTACAAGACCCTCATAAACAAGTATGCAGAAAACACCCTGGTTTCGTGAAGGACAAGCTGATGTAATGTTAAACTATCTTCCCCTTAGAAATGTACTAATTTAGGGTATAAAAGCTATGGTAAAAAATAAAGCAAGGCCAGACTATGCTGCACACCCCCAGTCTGGTCTCTCTCTCTCTCTCTCTCTCGCCGACGCCGTTCATCCTGAGGGTACCCCTGGATCCTGCCAGGGCTGGACCCTGGCAGGCTTTGATAACCTTGACCAAATCCCCAGGTCAGTCACTGTTACATCTCCGAAGCCAGGGTCAGCTTCAGCAGGATGCTGTGGACCAAAAGTGATAATAATGGCAGTGGTGGTGCTTCCCCAAAGGAAACTGGGTAACGCTATCAGATGGAGTATAAGGGTATATTGAATGGCAGGATATTATCTGTCTACCATAAACACTGTGAAAATACCAGTGGACAGGCTAATTATGGAGCTTTACAATCCATGTCATCTTGGGGGTTACCATAGAAAACTGCCTAGAAGGTCTAATGGGATGTGTTGATAGTCTGTAATTTTCTTGAGGTTAACCGGCCACAGGTTAAGTCACTCTGGCCCATTGAGTCTTCCTTTGGTTATTGGTAAGTCTCTGTGGAATTTCTACACAGCAATAATTATATGTAGATCCAGATAATAGTGGGCAGGTATACATTTGGAGCAAACAAGTAGTTCTGTGAGAAAACATGAGGGGGAATGATAGTCACTGTGGATTCCAGCTGGTGTTCAGGGGCAGGTGCAAGGATTTTTGTTTTCAAAGACCCAAAACCTCTTTGGGAAAAGATAAGCATCTCTGTCAACAGGGGACCAGGAATCATTTGCTTTTGCCTTCAAGGCTTTTTTCTCCATCCACTAACAATCTTGGTTGGTTTTGTTCAATAAAATCTTAATGTCTATCTGTTTCATTTAACTCAAGTAGATACAAAAAACTCCACAAGATAACCTTGAGATACCCAATGAACTTCTTAATTCAGTAACACACACTACACCTCAGTTGCAGCCAATGAATTGCTTGGTATTTAGAAAATACTGATTTAAAAAACAGTAAACAATAGGTACTGGCCCCATTTTGCAGAGGAAGAAATTAAAGCAATATCAAATTACCCAATTAATTAAGATCCCTTATATTGCGGTAGTATTGAAGATGATGCCAGGTTGTCAGATATTATTTTGAGTAAATATCACTCATGAAATTAGAAGTTTTAAATAGGAAGGAGTGATAAAATAACACACCCAGTTGGTAAGTGTTTTCCATGTGAACTGTGAGGCGAGAGGCATCTTCAGACTGGCAAGGTTCATCCATATAAGACACTGTACTCATAGAGCTAAAAGCAAGGAGAAAGCAAATTTTAACAGTTATGGTAACAATGCTGCTTTTAGCAAAAAAGTTACAGAAGTTTTTCCCTAAAAAGAAATTTCAAGCAAGTCCCATGTAGATATATCCCGGTAAAATATTGAAAGTCTAAAACATTTTAGAGATGGAAATATTACTGGAGTAGAGAAGTTACTTGGAGCAAGTCTCAATATAGCGGTAGAAACCCAGTTCAGTGCCTGGGGCCTTTGATTATCATGAAAGTATTCATGGATTGTTCCATTCGCAGGGTAACAGAGTTTGTACAGTGGGCCCTCCACATCTGTGGATTCTAGAGTCATGGATTTTGTTTGGCTAAATCCATGGATATGGAACCTGTGGATATGGAGGACCAGCTGTATTTCACCACTTTATATAAGGGACTTGGGCTTCCTTGGTGACTCAGTGGTAAAGAACCTGCCTGCTAATGCAGAAGATGCAGGTTTGACCCCTGGGTCTGAAAGATCTTCTGGGGCAGGAAATGGCATCCCACTCCAGTATACTTGCCTGGAAAATCCCATGGACAGAGTGGCCTGGTGGGTTACAGTCATGGGGTCACAAAAGAGTTGGATACGACTTAGTGACTAAACAACAACAACAACAAAAAAATAAGAAACTTGAGCATCCACAGATTTTGATATCCATGGGGGCTTTTGGAACCAATATTCAGTAGATACCAAGGGATGCCTGTACGTGTTTTGAAAGCTATTGGCAGTGTATATGCTTCACGTTACTCTCTTCATATACACTTTGTTGTTGTTCAGTCACCCAGTTGTGTCTGACTTTTTGCGATCCCATGGACTGCAGCATGCCAGGCCTCTCTGTTCCTCACCATCTCCCAAAGTTCTCCCAAGTTCATGTTCATTGCATTGGTGATGCCATCCGGCCATCTCATCCTCTGACACCCTCTTCTCCTGCCCTCAATATTCTTCATATATACTACTGTATGTAAAGTAGATAGACCATGGAAATTTGCTGCATAACTCAGGGAACTCAGACTGGGGCTTGGTAACAACCTAGAGGGGTGGGAAAGGGTGGGAGGTGGGAGGGAGGCCAAAGGAGGGGACATATGTACACCTCTGGCTGATGTATGCTGATAAACGGCAGAAGTCAAACCAACACTGTAAAGCAAATTATCCTTCAATTAAAAATAAACACATTTTACAAAAGGAGACTGTCTCAACAAAAAAACAAACAAAGAACTATTGGCAATTACCTCTACGACAGATGCAAAGGCTTTCCTCAAAGTGGACAAAACTCACAAAGGGACTGGGGATTATATAAGGAAGCTTAAAATGTTGGGAAACAAGTTCTCTGCATACATGGGTGATTATTAAGAGTTTATTATTAAACGTACCTCACAAAATCCCTTTAGTGGAAGAAAGAAAATGGAGAAACCCCTCTATATGATGACAGAAACCGCAATTCACCCAAACTGTCATACTCAATAAGCATCAATCACCCTATTCAACATTAAGAAAGGGTTTAGTCTTGGTTACCAAGGCAATATAAGCTTATCCAGGTGCTGAATAGGAGACCCAAGTGAAGAGGAACTCCTAAAGTCCCTACAGCACTGCTTAATCAGAGGAAATTCAGCTGTCACTAATGGCAGTCTCAGATCTCTACCCCAATTCCCTCCACCTGTGAAAATGGAGGTTAAACAGATGTCATTTCAAAGGATATGATATAATTGTGTGTGTGTGTGTGTGTGTGTGTGTGTGTGTGTGTGTGTGCGCGCGCACGCGCGCGCGCATGTGTACTTTCAGAGTGACTACTTTTCTAAGAGGCTACACTTTTGCTTTAATTATGGGAATAAGGCATTAATTTTTAATCTTTGGGGATTTTTTTCTCTCTGCAAGGAGTTTTAAATACTTAATTCTGAGCTGCTGGGAATTAGTGAGCTTCTTGCAAATTGCTATTTTAAGAAAATCACGGACATTATATTTTAAAAATCCTTTAATGCAATACAATTTACACAATAAATTAAGGTTTACCCATCCAGCCCAAGAAAGTGATGTAAGACATTATGGCTGCTTTTCCATGAGGGATTTCTGGATTAGAGTTAGTCTTCATTCTTTTAACACCTGCTTTCCTCAATTTTCTGCTGCCCTTTGAAGTAGCAACCAACCTGTTTAGCCACACTGGCTGCAGGTGTTGTGGGCAGCACCAAAGATGAAGCTTCTGCTTAGAAAACCCAATGTTGCATAAGCCCCTTGATTCTAAGATAAGCCAGGCTGCCCCAATATTGTATATGCTACTTTTTATTTTCCAAAACATTTTCCATCAATTATCTCATTTTAACTTTAAAATATTCACTTTAAGTAAGTAAGAAAGTCATTTTTCTGCCCATTTCAGTGATAAAGAGAACTAGACAAAGGGCTTAATGTCATACATGTATATAGGAAAGGCAGACTTGGATTTCACATATCCTACTTACCTCTCAGTGACAAAGTTTCACATATGATCGTATCTGATAGAATGGAAATAGGGGCAATGGCTTCCTGAAATAATGAATTGCTGCCATTAAAATTTACCTTGCACAAACATATAAAGACCCTATTTTTTCTCTACAAAACACCATATTAAAAACTCACAGAAGAAGTTATGGGTAAAAATTCTGAGAGAATTAATTCAACTAATTCAAATAGCAGGGGCCTGTTTATAACTGGTGTATAGATAGGATGGCAAGAGCTCAGGAGCTATCTTGGCTCTTGGGATGACCTTATGGATAATGGATCAAAAGCTAGAAAACTAGGTTCCTGAACTATTCCTTCCAGACTTTTTTTTTAATGCAAGATAAAATATATTTCTATTTTGTTAAAGTCAATGTTTTTTGTTTTTTATAAAAATATTATAAAAACATTAGATACAACTGATACAGAGTTTGGAAGTTGGATGTCATAATTAACAGAGCACAAAACTTGGAGTTAATTTTGTGAAAGAGATGGGGCTTTCAGGAATGAGATTTCAAATATTTTGCTGAAAACCTGGCTTCCTTTATCATGCAGAAGGAAGGTATTTGTTAGTCTATTGATTTCTGTACACTGGAAAGCTGACCATGAATCGGCCAAGATAATAACTTCAAGGAAAGTTATAGAAAAATTTTACTTTAAAAAAAATCCTATTCATGTTATCTTTTGAAACTGATACTTGAGAGGTCTCACATTAGAAGGAGATCATTTGGGAAAAGGAAAAGAGAAAAGAGAACAATATGCTGAACAGAAAAAATACGATACCTATTGCTTGAAAAAGACAAAAAGAAGACATAAAATATTAAAGATACTCGCAGTTATCAATGTCAGTTCAGAACATTGACTCAGAAAAACTTGTACCTATTTCCTGTTGATAAACAGCTTTATTCAAGCCCTTTGAAAATTTTTAAGATAAAAATGTGAGATGCTTCAAAGAGCAAATTTGTCATTATAATTACCGGTACTATATACACAGCACAACAAATTTACTGTGTATATTTCACAGTGTTACAAGTGGATGAATTTCAGTTGTCTATGACCAGGCCTTCCCTAGTTTATAATAATAATCTTTTTAGATACATGATCTCACTGGGAATGGAATGCTGTAGTTGATTTTTTTTTAATTTGAAAAATGCTTTTGCTGTCTATGTGTTTCATGAGTTTGTGGCATTTATGGAGGGAAAGGATTTGAACTGGCAAAATGTATCCAAGAGAGTTGTAAAGTTTTAGGAAGGAAGGTAGGTTTTAGGAAAATCAGGAAAACTGCAAATCTGGAGTAAGCTGCTTGTGAAAACACTGAACAAATCAACTAATGTTATTCTAGAGAAAAGAGTAACAATTTGTAATCAATGTAAATTTCAGTTACTACTTTGAATCACATATACTATTGTTCAAAAGAGACTTGGAATTAGCCTGGATGTGGAAACAGTGGCATGAAATTTGTCCGCAGTAACAAAAGTAATCCTCCTATATTGTATAAGTATGTGTGTGCTCGGTGGCTGAGTCATGTCTGACTCTTTATGATCCTGTGGATTGTAGGCTCCTCTGTCCATGGGATTTTCCTGGCAAGAATACTGGAGCCAGTTGCCATCTCCTCCTCCAGAGGATCTGCCCTACCCAGGGGCTGAACTCGCTTCACTTAAGTTTCCTGTACTGTAGGCAGATTTTTTACCACTGAGCCACCGGGAGTCCATATTGTGTATAACACTCCTTATTGTAACTGACTGACACTGGAAACATCCCATGCCAACCCAAGAGCCTGTGTTCTGATTATGCAGAGAAGAGCCCCACACAAAATAGCTAAGGAGTTGGAGTGTTTATATTTTTCATGAAATTCAGTTTTCCTGAAGACATCTTACAAAGTTGCATGCTGACCATTCCTTGAATTTAACAGAATACAAGGCATGTCTTATTTTTATGATGGTTGGAGATAGAAAAATAATGTCAATTAAACCTCACTAGCTATAATACCATCTAATTATTATTAAGAATTCATTTCCAGCTGTTTCCACTGACATTATTAAATATTTTGAAGCTATAGTAAGATATAATATTTGAATAGATAGCTCAGCTTTGTAGCTATTAGTTTAGTAGTTTAAGAAGGTCAGACTATCATCTCTTTCTTCAATTTGTAACTATGAAATGCTTCAAAGTACCATATTTTGAATGGTATCATAGCCTGAGCCTCTTCTTTTTTTTTAAAAAATCTGTTATTAAAGTCATGTGCTGCCTCCCAGTGGAGATATTTCAGAGTGCATAGAGAAAAAGAAGGCTTCAGGGTATAAACGTGTACATTTTTTTTTTTTTCTTCATTCTTTCAACAGATATTTACTGCCTGCAACATGGCAGGCAAAGTGAGAAGTACTGGTACAATTAAAAAAAAAAAGAGAGTCCCTGTGCTGGAGAAACAAGATGTAGAAAACAAAATATGCATTGAAACTCACTTGGGAACTTTCTAACCTCAAACGTCTATTGATATTTTTATGAATGTTATGCTTAAGAT